TTTTTTAAGATCCTATTCACTCAATATTTAAAAGTGCCCTGAAAAATATATGGGACCCTCAGATTTAATTGTATTTATTATTAAACACAGAAAGTTCAGAAATCAAGGGGAGAAGCAGCTCGACTGTCAGGACTTCAGGCTTCGTCTATAAAAATAATGCTGTTAAAAATATACTATGTATGGTTTTACTGCAAATGACCAAACTGTATGTTGTGTAACGACAGTCCACCTATTTTGACTGACTGTAGGTGGAGATGCTGCGTCTGTACCAACGTTGACACCAAACCTAGTTTTGAGAATGACGCATGGATATTTCAGAAATGTTATTTTCTGAGCTGTACTGTGGGAAATGAAGGCATCAACAAAAGAGTAATGCCACCTAGTACTCATTACAACGACATTGAACTCACACAGCAAATAAAAGCAAAGAAAAAAAGGTTTTAAATGAGCCCTAGAAGCAGCAGGGCACCGGTGGGTCACACAGCCACCGTCTGCCTCTGCTCTGTCTGACAGGTGACTTGGCAAACCAAACCTAGCATCCTCTGCACTTCTGGAACAGAAAATCCTTTGTATTCCTGGGATTACAGCAGTAAAACTTGATAGACAGTGGCAGCACAGTGTCAGCTCTCCAAAGCCCCTCAGCTGAGGTTTGCATCTGACCAGCTCTGATCTCTGCGCTTCACCAGAATAAACAATCAGCCGCTGACACCCAATTGTGTGGAGACAGACTTGACATGGTTTGCCACAATTAAGGACTAAAAACGTAACTAGTTAGTACAACAGTCACACGGAATGATAAAGACTAAACAGTCAGCGTTTTATTTAGATATTTCGCTTTGTTGATTTTCTTCTCTATCAGATGGTTAAAAACAGAATTATGTATTGAATCTGGAGTCTGATGATACCTAATTTGGGACACAAACAGTAATAGGTTTAAAGGCTTTGTAAATGCTGTTTTGCTGTAATTATACCGCAACACTCGTCATTTAACAAGATTACGATTTCATAATCCACAACAGAGTCAGGCTCCATGGCAGTAAAGTGAATTAACAATGACAGCAGCTTTGTTGATTCTTATCTTCACTAACTCATTGTCAGATGATGAATGGAGTCATACGCTTGGAAATATTTAGCCAAATGAATTGATGAACCCGAGGCAAATGCCCCTGTGGTCTATTCATCCTAAAATCTATCCAACATTACCTTGTAATCCACCTATTTACAGCAGACCGACTGTTGAACAAATCTGGGTTGGCCGAAAAGTCTAAACTCAAAAATATAATTAAACATTTCTTAAATCGATCCTCTTAAACAACACGAGACACCCCGGAAAGGAAAGAATAAATCTGATGCTGTCACTTCAAGTTTTTTTCTTTTTTAGTTTCATCACAAATCTCCTCTGAAAAACATGCAGACAATTTAGTGTTTTGAACAAATTCCCAATCCAAGTACACTCTCAGTGGAACATGGTCCGCCTCAACAGTCAAATAAGCTGCTTCTCTTTTGTAAACATGGCACTTTAACTAGAGAAACTTATTCAATTAAAAGTTTTAAAATCAGCAGAGCGTTAACACTC